AGAAGCATCTTTCATTTTCGTAGCCTCTACGGAATAGAAAATAGAAATTGACCATTGGAGGGCTCCTGTTTCTTCTATTTTTGTAAACTTGTGCTGTGGGGTGACTTCCGATCTTAACTTCCTCAAACATGTGACAAACCAGTCTCCTCCCTCAGGTAAATTCTTTGTTTGATGAGAGAGCACCTCAAATCACAGTCCCCGACCTTGTCCTCATGCTGCTGGAGCTCTTGCTGTTGATCTGCGGTGAGTAGGACAACTCAGAACAGAGTATGGGATTCCATCACCCGGGGGCTCTGGCTCCCGAAGAGCTGGGGGGTTTCTCAGGAGTCATTTTCTGCCTGGCTCTGCTCAGGGATGCTTAGATCTCTACTTCCAAGTGAGGGCTCAGAGTCGGTCAGACAGTGCTGTCGATACGGGAAAGCCAGATTTTTAAGAAAAGAAAATTATCATTTTAGTTTTTATCTCATAGGATGTGTTCACTGTCTGTCTTTCTACTTTTAATTGAAGATTTTGTTTTTGGTATTTTCAATAACCACAAAGATAGTTGGTACAACAGATTGGTCTCTCGGGTCTTTGCCCTCCTTACTATCGACGTTATTTCCCTTTACCTTTGTACGACCTCCCACTCCTACCATCAAACCCTAGAACATTACCAGCAACAGCATGGTTTCCAAAATCTTTTGTTTTCAGCATCTGCCCGCCACCACACACCCAATACGCTGTCTCTGCGGCTGGCGCCCCTCCCGCCCCGTGTCACTGTCCTCAGCTCCTCAGCATCACTCTCCCGCTGCCAGTTACTACACTCTCCGTGCCCACGGCCACGGTGATGGGTGATCGGCTTCCAGTCGAGTCCATCACGGGGTCCCTCGCACACGCCTTCACCTCTGTACCTGGGCGACGGCCCCTGATTAGCACACGTTTCTGCCTGCTCACGCCCATGCCGAAGCAGCTGTGACTCTATACAAAAGGGGCACCCTGCTGACTTACCCCCCTTCAGTGCAGAGCCCGCAGGCGTCAGCCATGCCAGGCACGTCCACACACTCTCCCAGTCTTGATGACCGCTATGTGGTGCCTTCTCTTTTCTTCTCAAACTTCCCCCTTCTCATTCTCAATTTATAACTTTGCTTAATATTTCTGAGGAAATAAGAGCAATCAGAAGAAAAATTTCTCATTGTACTGTGTATGTATCAGTCCACCCACCTTTATACTTACGCACCTATCGTGAGTGTATTTTACTCATCTTATCAAAGACAGGACTCTCCACTTGTGCATTGAGTGCCAGATGCTCTCAAAAACTTTGCTCCATCATCAAAATGTTTCCCCGTCTGGGTTATTCCCATAATATATTTTATTTTAAAATAACAGAAATGTGACCTGTTGTGCACCATTCCTCTGTCTCCCTTTATAAAGTTTTCTACAAGTTGCTATCTTTACTTCATATTAACCTATCCTTTCTTAAAATTTTATTTTTAATTTACATTACAGTAAGTTTTACTTTTGGACACACTGTCTATGATTTTTGACAAAGATTTAGGGTCATGTGACCTCCAGCACAATCAAAGTACTTCTGTACATTTCCATCACTTCAAACACTTTCACCCCTTCAAAAATTTCCTCATGTCCTCTCTTTATAGTGAAATACTCCCTCATTTCTAACTCTTGGAAACGGCTAAACGGTTCTAGTTCAGGTTCTTTCTTGTGCTTTCTTAACCCCACGTAAATAAATCTTCAGCTCCCAGCACACCATTAAAACCACTCTTGCTCTTGTCATCAACCGCCTGCATGTTGCCCCATCCAGGCTTCGTTTTCATTTCTCATTTTATTCAGCCTCTCGGGAGTATGTGACACAGTTATCAACCGGTCTTCTGGAAATACATTTTTGCTTAGATTCTGGGACACTACATTCTATGGTTTTCATTCTAACTCCGTACCTGCTGCTTTACTGATCTCAAAACGTCTGACTTCCTCCCTTCTGTTCATACTCACTTCCCCAAGTTACACACTTTGGTCACTTTATATGTCACTTTAAGCTTAAAATACTTAAAATCAACCTTAGTTCTCCAAATTTTATCTCACCTTTGAACACTGTTCATGTATTCAACTGCCCTTCGGCTGTCTAACAGGCACCTTAAACCCAACATATCCAAACAGACCCTTTGATCTGCCAAGTGTGGCACCACCACCACCACCAAGCGTAACCTATTTCTCCCCAGGATTTCTCCATTTTCATAAATGTCACCACCATTTTTCCAGTTGCCATTGCCCAAAATCTAGGAGTTATATTTACCTCCTCTCTTTCTTTGATACTTTATATCTGATCCATAAATAATTTGTATTTTCAAAATTTCTGCTGAAATCTGACCACTTCACAGACCAGCACCACTTCCCCTGAGCCATGATTGTCCTCAGTCTTTCAGATCAGGCTCCCACCGGCCTTCTCCCTGCTTCCCATGTACGCCTGTACTTTATTCTTCTCACAGCGTAAGAGCGATTTGTCAAATGTCAATTAAGTCAGAACTGTCCTTCGCTCCCCATAATATCTAAAATAAAATCCCAAACTATTACCAAGTCCAGAAATCCCGCCCCGACTGGCGCCTGCTTACTTCTCATACCCCAATATCAACCACTGTCAGTCCACCCAATCAATTCCAGATGCACTTGCCTTTTTATTCCAGCATGGAAAAGAATATGCCTTTTTAATGTCCTTGCAGGAGCTGTTTCTCCTCCAGAAATGACCATTCCCCAATACTCAGTAGGCTTTTACTCTAATTTCATTTAGATTTCTACTCGCTTCACATCTATATAAATAGTCAAGACCATCGTAAGATGATCAGTAACTTATTTCTCTGATTTATTTTTCTTATGGCACTAACCACTCTCTGAAATCATGCCATATATTTATTTTTAATTGGCTCCCTTCTACTATAATGTAAAAATTTTGACAGCAAAGACTACTGTTCATTTTTACTCCTGTCACATAAGTGCCACCATGCCTAGCATACAGTATTTGTTGTATAGATGAGGAAAGAAAATACGACTTTTATGTTAGCCTTTATTAATTCTTTTCTTCTACCTTTTTTCCATAACCTAAAAAAGGAAGGCATCTCAGACTAAGCATGGGCTTAAACAGATGGTAATAATAATGTTAAATAAACACTCTAAGGCACTATTAGGCACGATTCTAAGCACATTGTGGATATCAACTTATTTAATTCTCACAAAACGCCACGAGGCAGGTCTGTTATTATCTCCATTTTACAGAAAAGGAAATGAAAGCATAGAGAGATGAAACATTTTTCTCTGGGTGACACAACTTGTAAGAGGAAGAGCCAGTGCTCAAATCTATGCCATCTGGCCGCAGAGCCTGCATTTTCCACAGAATTTACAGTGTTAGTAGTTATCGGGTCTTGAGCAAGAGCCTTCCCACCATCCTTTCCTGGCTGCCGTTGCCAGGAGTCAGCTGGTGTGGGGCCGGGTCACCCAGGCCCCTGAGGGGAGGGGCTGAAAACGAGGAGCTTCAAGGGGGCTGCTAGGTACTCACGAAACAAAGGCACCATCTTATCAGTATAAGTGAGAGAAGTTATTGGAAGTTGCTTTATAATCCTAAAAGGAACTCTGCGTTGTTTTCTGGGCAGGTGTTTTGTGGGTGATGTGGAATGTGAGAAAAGGAATGGAGGGAAAGAAGAAAGAGAAGAGGGAGAGAGGAGAGAGGAAGGGAAGGATGTGGGGGAGGGCAGGAGGGAAGGAAGGTCAGTTGTCGGGGAAGCTCTTTGGAAAATTAAACTTTGCATGTTTTGGTTTTGGTGTTCTGTACTGATTCTGCTGAATTTTCCCGCAGCTCAGCTCTGTGAACCAATTGGTGAGTTGCACTTCCCTTTCTTCTTCATGGTCTATGGGTATTTGGGGCCAACACCGAGGCCTGTGGATGGCTGACACCTGGTGACAGCTACTGAGGTATACACATAACGGGGGCTGCTTGTGTTCACACTAGTTTCTGTACCTGACACCTGCCTGCTCAGTCAGGGGAGCAGGTGTTAGTCTGACTTCCTCAAAACCACAGTCTTTTTTTTTCTGGGAAGTCCCAGTTTAGGGAGGGATTTGGTGTTTGCATACAGAAATCATGTGTGTCAAAGGCTGATTTCAGAAGACTCTCTGCTCTCGTAGCCTCAGAGGCCCCAAGGCCCCAGTGTAGTCCTGAGCTGGGTGCTACTCCAGGAGTGATAAAGGAAATGTCAAAGTCACATATCCACGGAGAGCAACATTATAGCCAATCCTTGGGCCATATGCAAAATAAAACAGTGCTGCTGACTCCCCCTAGTTTTTAGCTTTGCTGCCACAGCAGTTACCCAGCGTGATTTCTCTCGTTGGCTCAGATTTATGCAAACTTACTTCCTTGTGCTGATCCTCATTTAAAGGCTTACCTTTACGGGATGAAGAGAGGAGGCAATTCCCCCCAGAAGAAATATTTCACTAAAGTGTGTTTAAATCTAATATGTGTCCGAACTCTTTTTTTTTGTACATAAAATACTAAACTCAGGGTTAAAAGAGGTTATCCTGTCACATCAAGAGCCCAGGCCACATGTGCAGCGAGGGGACGCTAGATTAGGAATTCCTATGATGAGAGATATTCAGGACAGCTCCTCCTCCTGGGCTCCTCACCCAATGCTTGTCCCGGTCTAACTCATGCCTGTGTTAATGCCACGATGTCCTGCTCTTGGCCCTGTTTTCCTCCATAAAGGCACCCATGTGCCTTACCCTAGCCTAAGCAGAAACACAGCCACATCCAGCATGATGAAAGAAACCTGCCACCAAGAATTTTCCACAGTCTCTGTGCCTGAGAAGTATTTGGAATAAGCTCTGAGCTGTAACATTGAGCTCCAAACCCTTGAAAACAGCTCTTTCTGATGTCTTACTCCATCCCCACCCAGGCTCATTCAGAAAAGTGGGCTACTGGTGCCCAGAGACCTTTTTCCACCTCTTCCCTCCCTTTTCCTGCTCAGGCCCTAAAGCTGTGACGCTCCTCAGTCCTTGGGGACCACAATTTCCCACGGAGAGAAGCGCCTCTGACGTGCAGGGCGTTCCACAGGGCAACATTGTAGTGCAGCTCTGGAGCAGATTTTTTCAGAGTCCCAAGGTAACAGATTACAGATATTAAATCAGAATATTAAATGAAAAGGATTATTAAATCAGAAATAACCTCTCAGTGATCTAGAATAAGAATTCAACATTTTTATATGGTGAATTAAACACTCAGAAGCCTATGAACCATCAAAACCCCTGATAACACTGGCCCTTCAGGTATTTGTTTATTCAACCCTCAAAATTTCTGCTATTTGGGAAAATTTAAGAATTTTCCTAAGAAAAACCTCTTTCTCTCCTCACCATGAGGACATGAAGTGAAAGCAGAATACAACTGGAGCCATCTTTAATTCTTCCAGAAAAAAGCCCTGAAGGCAAAAAAATACATCCCCAAGGCTCAAGATACGGATTATACTTTCTTCTTATAAACACAGCTTCTGAAAGGCTTTGTAAAGAAGTCTTCGGGCACAGGCCGTGTACGCGTGTGGACTGAGGGCATTTCCACGCAAGCACACGCCCGCTCCTTTCATCGGCAGTCACAAGGGCAAAAGAGAATCAGTAAAGAGGGAGCTGAGTTTCTCTCAGTCTTTCCCAGATCCTCCAGGTCTCATATTCTGTCTTTGAAAGAGATAATCTGAGATGTCAGGGCAAAGGAAACAAGAAAATAACCAAATAAGGCTTACAACATGGATGGAGGAAATATATTCCCTTTTCCTAAAACTTCAAGCTCCACCTTCTCCAATGCCAGCTGCAGTGACAGTTGTCAATATCCCTGCACTGTCCCAGAAAAGGTGCTCTTAGTTCCTGGACAAAAACTTCGACAAGTAAGAACCAAATCAAAGGTAATGTTTGCCTTGTGGTAAGAGGTGAGGCAACACGGGGGCAGGGGGTCCTGGGGGTGAGCAGCTGGCAGAAGAAAGCCCATGGACCGCTTGTGGGTGGTGATGTGAGGGTGCTCTGTGTGTCCAGGGGGCTGGTTCTCGATCTGGTTTTAAATGCTGAGAATACAAAGTGGCTCTTACCAGGAACTCTGAACTCCATGGCCCTGGAATATGTGTTTCATTCTTCCCTCCAGTGCTGCTTTTGACAGCCAGCTCTTCTCGGCCCATAGAGGGGAACTCAGTGATCCTGACCTGTAAGATCGAACTCCCTCCACAGAAGTTAGGTGTCCAGCTCCAGTTCTACCTCTTCAAAGATGGCCATGCCCTGGGGCTGAGCCAGAGCAACTCCCTGGAGTTCCAGATCACTGCCGTGACGAGGGAAAATTCAGGGTCCTACTGGTGTGAAGCACGGAGAAACGGCCTTAAAGTCCTAAGGAGCAAGAATATCTGGATACATGTGCGGAGTGAGTAGTGCCAGTGGGGTCCTCTCCTGGGCTGGGACAGGGAGGGCAGGAACCTGGGCTTTGCTGACTTCTGTTCTGCTCCTGCAGAAATAGGAGCTGTACCCAAGCTTCTCTCTTTGTCAGAGTGCTTATGGGGTCTTCCCTTCTCCTTGCTGTTCCCATTCAAGCAAACAGAAAGATATTTAGAAAACCCTTATTGTGAGTTTTCACTCTGCTGGAGAGTGTCGAGGAAATATCTGTGTAATACATGGTCCCCAATTACAGGTAGCTGGTGCGCAATCAGCACTCTAAACAACTGTGGTGAAATATATGGTGTTGTTGTTTAGGGCCAGCAACTACAGAGAAGAGAGAGATATGACTGGGGTTGTCAGAGAAGGCTTTGTGGAATCAGCTATGAAGGAAGGGCTTTTGGAAGGATAGTGTGGGCTTGGTTTTTAAAGATACGAACGAGGGTGTTTCTGATTCTGAATTGGAAATGTTATTGCAAGTCAGGGTTGATGCTTCTGATATCCTTTCATTCTCAGATAAAGATGTATCTGTTGTGCCATAAAGCAGATGTTCTCCAGAAGCCTGGGTTTTCCCAGGCTTGCTCAAAACTCAACATTGGTGATGGTGAAACACACACACACACACACACACACACAAACACACACACACACACACACACACACCCCAACCTAGACAGCAGGCCCTGTTCTAGTACAGAGTTGGAAGCATCCTTAAAACCCAGGCAGTTTGATTTGCAACATGGAATATTAACCAATTTGCTTTTGTGCCATAAAAAACGAGCATTTGCTATATCAGGGTTCTGGAGGGTCCAGGGTTCTGGAGGGTCCAGTGTCTTAGAGAGGGAGCTGATCTTGCACCCCCTACTATAACATTACGGTGCCTTTCTTACCCTACCACCAACCTAAACAATGCCAATTTCATATCAGCAGAAATATTGCCCCCTGCCACAATTAAACTATATAGGTTATTGACTTTATCCAAGGCCTTACCCCCGCTCCCCCAGGACAGTCACACCTACTCCTGTCCCTGAAACTCTCCCTATTTGGGGCTCTCATGTGTCATTTTGTGTTTTTGCAGGAATCCCTGTCTATAATGTGACCTTGGAGACACAGCCTCCAGGGGGACATGTGATGGAGGGAGAGAAGCTGGTCCTTGTCTGCTTGGTCACTGGGGGAACGGGAAACATCACCTTCTTCTGGTACAAAGGGGCCTTGGGTTTAAACCTAGAAGTGAAGACCCAGCATTCACTGAGAGCAAAGTTTGAGATTCCTATGGTGAGAGAAAGTGATGCTGAGAAATATTACTGTGCAGCTGACAATGGCTACGGCCCCAGTCTCAGTGGGCTAGTGAGCGTCACTGTCAGAAGTAAGTTCCACTGCCCTTCAGCTCAGTCAGCAGGTCACAGATTGGGCTCCATGGTTCCTTGGGGCATCCTGGGGAAGGTCAATGGGGCTGAGACCCTGTGGGAAGAGATCATGAGTCTGTTGCATTATCAGACACCCTCTTAGACGTTCCACTATCTTTGTCAGTTCCAGTGTCTCGCCCTGTCCTCACCCTCAAGGCTCCTGGGGCCCAGAATGTGGTGGGGGATGTGGTGGAGCTTCACTGTGAGGCCTGGAGAGGTTCCCCTCCAATCCTGTACCGGCTTTATCATGAGGATGTCACTCTGGGGAACAGCTCAGCCCCCTTCGGAGGAGGAGCATCCTTCAACCTCTCTTTGACCAAAGAACATTTTGGAAACTATTCCTGTGAAGCCAGCAATGGCCCGGGGGCCCAGCGCAGCGAAGTGCTGCTACTCAACATCACAGGTATGGCTCAGGCCGTGGAACAGTCCTGGTCGGTGTCTCTTTCTCAGCAGCCTGGGAGAGTTTCACTGACCACAGTGCTTTTGCTGCTGTGTTACCAAAGATGGGGTTTCAGCGGGTGGTGCTGTCCTGGGAGATGTATCTGAGGGGTATGGGAGGACATAATGACTGGGCGCATCTCTTTCTTTCATCATTGTGAAAAGCTGCAAGTCTCTAGATAAATAAGTCTCACTATCCCCTGCCCCTGCGGAGAAGACCTTGGCCTCAGGGCACACTCGAGACTCTGCTCTCCCAATTGAAGCCCTTCTCCTTGGCAGCTCATGCCCAGGTTTCTCTCCTCAGTGCCTACAGAAGACAGAAAGGAACTTCTTTCAGGAACCTTTGAGGTGCTGCTTGGCAGCCTTAGTCTCACCATTGTGGTCCTTATATTTTGCTATTGGCGCAAGAGAAACACAGGTTAGTATTTATAGAGGTTGGCATGTTGTTACTGTGACCTTTGTTTTCACTGAAATAGGCTACATTTGAGACACGGATACGATAAAGAATGAATATACACTGCGAGTCAGCTGCCTGCAGACCTGCTTACAATGGCCAGTTTGGAATGACACCCATGAAAGTGGTGCAATGCCGTTAGTAAAGTTCTCTGTCCCCTTTATTACTAGTCGAAATCCAGCTGATATCTAGCGCTTCTGTGATTTAATTGTTATACAAAGATGTAACTCTATTTAGATAACTAATCAGCTACTGGATGAGAAATACAGTGAGCAGTTCCGGCTGTACTGACCATCTCCCAGCTAAAGCCAATGCATCAATTCTTATGCAGCTTAGATTAAAATCACACTCCCCCCACCCCGAAATGCTTGTCCACACACCCACACATTCTACTCATTGCTGGATCTCTTCCACTTTTTAGCTTAAATGTCATTTTTTCCCAAGAGGTTTCACCTGGCCACACAGCCTACAGTTCTCTTCTATTATTATTCATCAGAACAGCCTTATTTAGTTTCACACTTTATCACCATTGGTAATTAAATATTTATTTGTATGTTTAATCTTGGTGTCTTGCTCTCCATTGATTGAACTGGAGATGGGGCAAGAGAAGACAAATCGAGATTCTCATTTAAATTACAAGCCTCTTCTGCACCTTTGGGTGCCTCACCTCTACGACGTGGTTGTGGCAGTGCCTGCTCCTGCGGGATCCTGTCATGATAAAATTAGGTGATGTGGCTGTCAGATCAGAAGCAGAAAGTACAATAGGTGTGAAGGTTTGAGCTCAAGTCTTAGCTTTGGTATTTACTGCCATTGGGAAGCTTAATTAATTCTTCTAGACCTGAGTCTCTTCGTCTGCAAAATGAAGGGTCTGCTTGAATGACTGCAGGATGTCCTTCGGGCATACAGTGGCATCTTGTGACAGGCATACTGGCACGGAAAACAGTCCCCACTAGAGCGCTACATGAAAAAACTGATGAAAAGAGGCCTCCATTGATGTGTATGCTCATGTGTTTGACTTTCAGGAGGACGTCCAGCCAGGGATCCACCCAGGTGAGGCCTCTGCTTTCCCCGTCTGTGCTGACTGTAGAAAAATACCTTTTATAAAGATTAAATTGTCCTCTCTCAAGAGCTTTTTCACATTTTTATTATATCCCAAACTCCCACTACACAGTTCTCTCGCTGATAACTTTGAATATTCATTTGCTATTCTTCTTCTTTTATATATTAACAAATTAATTTAAATCCTTTCATCATTCTTCCTAATGTGCCTCTTTCACTAAATCTCTAGAATAAGAAAGTTACATTATTTTGACCCATCTTATGCATTCATTCAATAAATTAACCGGTATCTGAGGGTCTGTAAGTCATTCTATTGAGTGCTGAAGGCCTGAAACTATAAAAGTTTTGAGTCCTGAAGCATTGTAGAATAGTTAATATAAATACACATTTCTGTAACACAGGCCAGAGAGTAATAAACATGCTAAAATTTTTCATGATAAAGTTCTTTAGGAGTTTAGAAGAGGAAAAGATTTTTGAATGCTTTCATCTAGGGATATCAATATTTAATTGATATATTTTTATAGTGTGTTATTGTTTATGCCAACAATAAAAAAGAGTCACCTTCCCCCAAATCAGAGTAGCACTCTTTCCGTGGTACATGCAAACGCCAAGACAATCACCTTATTTTCTTTGCTCCAGACACTTGTTCTGCCTCGCAACACTTTTTCCAGCTGGAGTGAGTCACTATTTCTTCATTCTGTATTTACTGAGCACCTGTGATGTGAGTGGTGCTATTCCGGGTGTGGGCAGCGCCGCGGTGAGCCAGTCAGATAAGGACCTGGCGCTGGGGGAATTTGTACCCTAGCGATGCTCTGCAGCGTCTCCCTCAGCCCCTGCACTGGGCTGGGGCCTCTGCCATACAGCGTGACTTCCCCAGAAATTGCTGTTCCACTCCGGACTCTTTCTAACAGGCTTCTCTCCCTCAGTGTCTGACCCATTACCCGGACGGCGATGTCCGGGCGCTGCGCAGATGGATAGCTTGTGTCTCTGTTTGCAGGAGCCCGCCCAGCCCTGTGCACCGAGAAACCACATACCTGAACTCAACAGCCCCGGGGCAGCCGCAGCCCATATATGAAAACGGTGAGGTCCCCAAGCCACCTGCCCTGGGCCAAAGCAGGCAAAGCCAGCTGGGGAGGCAACGGGGCAACGCCTGCTGGTGGCACCCGACCCTGCTGTGCTCCCGCCAACCCTGCAAAGAGATGAGCTGTCTGTCTGTCTTCGTGGCTCTGTGGGCGGGATGCATGGAGCCACTTAAATGGCAGGAAGGAGGGACTGTGTCGCGATGCCTCTTTTGCTTCTCTTTCAGTGAATGTTGTGAGTGGAAATGAGGTTTATTCTTTGGTGTACTATATGCAACAGGAACGGCAAGCGGCAGCAGGTAAGTGCATTTTTCTCTGTCTTTTGTCTTCCCTGGAACCAAGACATGGTTGTGTGCGGCAGTGTTCCTTCGTGACGTTGCTTCTGCCGTGAAGCCGGCTGTGAGCGCTGTGCCTGTCTGAGCGCTGGCTTTGGCCTGGAGCCTGCCTGGGGAGCCCGGTGCCGAGGCTACCCTGGCCTCCCGGTGCAGCGTGTGTCTCACTCGCAGCAGGTGGAAGTGCTGGGGGTGGCTTCTGCCTGTTCTCTTTGACTAGCCCTATGGACCCCCTAGGACGCCCCGACACAGCTGCCTAGTTGCCACTGTCGTCCCATCTAGCACATGGTGGGCCCAGAACTGCCGAGAGGTGTAAATGCCAGGAGGGGCCTCCCTATCCGGCCACCCCAGGCGGCTCTGTTTTCTCTGCATAATCAGGGAAGTGTATTTGTGAAAGGCAGAAAGTGAGACAAAAATATTAATAGAAATGGACCCATGGGCAACAGACGAGAGGAAGAAGCCTTTATGAAAATTTATTTAGTGGAAGACTTTAAGTGTAAGTGGAATCTCACAGCATGTACCCTTTTCTCCACAGGGGAGTCCCTGACGACACAGGCCGAGAGCAACGTGAGTTGGAATCCCTATTGTCCTTCCTCCTGCTCTTTCTTCTCGGGTCTGGTTCTTGTACTTTTAAAATTATGGCCACTAAGGAAAAACAAAAGATCCCGTGCTCCATCTCCTCATTTGTCTCCCCACACAGTGGGGATACAAACACTTAGCTATAACAACAAAGTGTCGCTGTATAAGGAAATTCACAAGGCTTGTGCATACATACATTAGCCATGGACATATGGACGATTTGGGACTAAACTGTAGTGTATACCCAGTCTAAAAATTATACTTAAAAATCTTTACACTGAAATAATGTTGAGCCATACACACATAAGGTTAACCAAACAACACAGAAATAGAAATTAATAAGCTAAACAGTGATGTTTGTAATTAAAAATAAGTAATTTCTAAACTTTGAACAATACATGACATTACTGATGATATGAAAATGCTTTCATAAAATGCAGAAATCTCAAGTCCTCATGTGAGCAACAGCAGGTGCTTTGCAATTTTGTTAAGTGTGGTGCGACAGTCAAATGTCTCAGGACAAAATTCAAGTCCTTGGTAAAATCCAGTGACATGCTAAATACTAGTATTCTTTTTTTTTTTTTAATTCTCACCCCAGGATATTTTTTTCATTGTTTTTTAGAGAGAGTGGGGGGGAGGGTGGAGAGAGAAAGAGAGAGAGAGAGAGAGAGACATCAATATGAGAGAGATATCGATTGGTTGCCTCCTGCCCTGACTGGGGCCAGGGATTAAGCCTGCAACTGAGGTTTGGGCCCTTGGCTGGAATTGAGCCCAGGACCCTTCAGTCTACTACCTGACGCTCTAACCACTGAGCCAAACTGGCTAGGGCAAAATGCTAACATTCTTTAAAAAAATGACAGCCCATGGAACTGCCTAACAATGGCCCATAAGAACGAGAGAAGGCCTTGTATGTTTGGGTCAGTTTGCAGGCCAGCAGCAGCCCCTCTGTTAGCCCACCGGTGAAGTGCATACATACCACCCACACAGCCATGAAGACAGGGTCAGGTCTGAAACGCAGACCCTTTGAAAATGATGCCCTAGGGCCACAATCTTCCAATAACCTCCAGTTCATGTGCTGCACGGCGAGCCATGATGGGAAGCGTTCGTGCTGACTGGAAAGGGAAACGGTGGGAAGCGTGTTCTACTTGTCCTCCCCACTCCACCCTATCCTTGTGCCTTTGCTTCTAGGCCTTCTCAGACATCTATTCTGGAGTGAAAAAAGCAAGAGTTACAGACTCGGACTATGAAGATACTATCTGAAGTTATGGAAGATTCTGCTTTTATAAACCATCAGTGACCCCACGCCTCAGAACCAGTAGGTTCTTCAGAGATCCTGGGGGTCAGCTTTCCAGATACTCATCCAGGTGCTTTCCTCCCTGAGACTGTTCTACAGCTACTGTGAAGCAGAGTTGGCTCGGCCCCAAAGAGACCGCCCGAGAGAACCAACATGATTGCAGGAGCAGGAAGGACTTTGTACCAGAACTTGATTCCCGCTGGTTCTTTTAAGCACAGGTCAAATTGTGCTCTAACTTCTTTTTCTAAGAGGAAACAGAACAGGATAAAAAAATACTTAGGACTCTGGGGTAGTGGGACAGTGACGTTCAGAGTGCACAAAACCGGTTTAGTGATTCTGCGGGACTGCTCCACGCAGAGAGCTGTGTCTATCATTTTGTTCAAGTGCTTTTTCTGCTCAGACGGTACTGAACTCCAGCCCTGCCACTTAATTAATCATCCTGTTTCTCCATAAAATATGTGACTCATAACATTTGAAGTCACTGTTATCCAATTAGAATTAAAACAATGTTACATAAGACATTACTGCAGTTATACTCAATTTTAGCATATTTTTATGCACAGGCCAATCTGGATTTATAATGAGATATAATTGTGTCACCACATCCAATATTCTGCATTTGTTGCAGCCCCTAGAAGCTTTATGAATATAATTTTTTAATTCAGAAACGTTTTGAACACATGTGATAATATGGTTTGGAGTTTGTATTTTAATTTCAAATCAACCATTTGCTAATGCATAAATTAAAACAGTTTGAAGCATAAAAGGTAAAATATTGAAGTCTTCCCTATGATTTAACACAAGTGGTGCCCATTGTTAAAAACTAAGCATTGTTAAAATCACAGCTCTGCAGGGATTTTTTCAATTTTTGTATAAACACTTATACATATTTGTAAATATAGAAATATTTAGAAATATACCTATTTAACAAAGTATCATGAAATATTTTTTAAAGTTGAAAATGCTACCATTTATTCCTTTAGACAAATATGTCAATGTACAAATATGATCAATATAAAAAATAAAATTATATGATAAACTCAGAAACAGCCTCTGATTCTGAATCTGTCAGTGTTCTTACAAGATGTCATCTTACCTATCTCTCTGAAATTAAGGGAAACTGCCTTATTTTCTTCTTTGTTGTTCAGTGATGTTTTAACCAGTTTCACATACTTGTCGTTTTTTTATTTTCTGCAATCTTTTTTGATATATATATTTATTGCCATTTTATTGTTCATATTTTTCATCTTTCTTCTTCTTTTTAAAAATTTATCTTTATTGCTGAAAGTACTACCGATGTCCTCTTTTTTCTCCATTGACCCCTTCTACCCTACACCCACCACCCCACCCCAGGCATTCACCACACTATTGTCTGTGTCCATGGGTCATGCAAACATGCATATAAGTTCTTTGGTTAGTCTCTTCCCACCCACGCACCCACCCACATCTTTCTTCTGAGATTCTTCAGTCTGTTCCATTCTTCTATGTCTCTGGATCTATTTTGTTCATCAGTTTATTTTGTTCATTAGATTCCACATATGAATGAGGTCATGTGATACTTGTCTTTCTCTGGCTTATTTCACTTAGCATAATTCTCTCCAGGTCCCTCCATGCTGTCTCCAAGGGTAAGAGATACTTATTTTTCATAGCTGCATAGTATTCCACGGTGTAAATGTCCCACAGCTTTTTTATCCACTCATCTACTGATGGGCACTTGGGCTGTTTCCAAATCTTAGCTATTGTAAATAGTGCTACTATGAACATAGGGGTGCATATATCCTTTCTGATAGGCCTTTTGGGTTTCTTAGGATATATTCCTAGAAGTGGGATCACTAGGTCAAATGGTAGCTCCATTTTTAATTTTTTGAGGAACCTCCATACTGTTTTCCATAGTGGCTGCACCAGTCTGCATTCCCACCAGCAGTGTACCAGGGTTCCCCTTTCCCCACACCCTCGCCAGCACAAGTTGTTTCTTGATTTGTTGATGGAGTCATTCTGACCAGTGTGAAGTGACACCTCATTGTTGTTTTAATTTGTCTCTCTCTGATGACTAGTGACCTTGAGCTTTTTCTCATATGTCTCTTGCCCATCTGTATGTCTTCTTTGAATAAGTGTCTGTTTAGGTCTTTTGCCCATTTTTTTTTTTTTTTTTTAATATATCTTTATTGATTTTAGAGAGAGGAAATGAGAGGGAGAGAGAGAAATAGAAACATCAATGATGAGAGAGTCATTGATCGGCTGCAGCCCGCAACCCGGGCATGTGCCCTGACTGGGAATTGAACCCTGATCGCCTGGATCCTAGGTTGATGCTCAACCGCTGAGCCACACCCTGCTGGGCTTTTTGCCCATTTTTTAATTGGATTTTTTGCTTTCCTTTTGTTCAGTTTTATGAATTCCTAATATATTTTGATTGGCAAATATGTTCTCCCATACAGTGGGCTCTCTTTCCATATTGTTGGGAGCTCGTTTGTAGATAACTAATTGCCTTTTTTCCTACCTTTAAGATACTCTCTTTGTATTTAAACTTTGTCATTGTAATTATGATGTGCTTTGGTGTGAGCTTCTTTGGGTTTATATTGTTTGGTACTCTCTGTGCTTCCCGAACTTTTGTGACTTTTTCTTTTTCTAGGTCAGTATTTCTTCAAACAGGTTGTCTAGCCATTGCTCACTTTCTTCTCCTTCTGTGACTTATATGACGTGGATATTGTTAAATTTTATGTTCTTCCTACACTCCCTTAAACTATCCTCCTCCTTTTTATTATTTATTTTTATTTATTTAATATTTATTTATTTCTTCTATATTTTATTTTATTTTTTTCCATCACCATTTATCCCCTCTATACCCTCATTCATATCCAACCCCCCGTCCCCTGCAATCACCATACTGTTTTATGTGTCCATCAGTTTTTTCTCTCTCTTTTTTTCTTTTATGCTCAATCCTTCTACTTCAGAAAGGTATAAATTTATGTGAGTCTCAATGAGCAACCATATTGTGATATTGCAATGCATTTATTGTGAAATTAACATTCATACCAGTTTAAAGATTTTTCTAGACAGATGGAATATAAAAATAAATAGTTTTGAAAGTGATGTAGCTAACTCTGCTTCAGAGTGTTCATGTATATACGATAAAACTGAAGAAAATGAAAATGAACTTTAATTTTTAAAAAATATCAGTAAAACAAAATAATCATTATCAATCAAAATTGTAGTCCCTGAATAAAAGTTGGTCCCAAAGTTTATCTCAAAGTTATCAAATAATAAATATACTTAATTGAAAATGAGAGCCAGAGGAAATTATTTGGAGTTGTTACACAAAATTATTTCTCAGTAGTCCTTGGGTTGTGCATATATGCATATAAATTCTTTGGTTAATCTCTCCCCCTCCACTCACCCTCCCTCCTCCATCCCTCTGACATTTCTCAGTATGATCTATACTTCTATGTCATTGAATCTATTCTGTTCATCAGTTTATTAAGTTCGTTAGATTCCACATATAAGTTAGATCATGTGATGTTTGTCTTTCTCTGCCTTATTGAAATGGCTTATTTCATTTAGCATAATATTCTCCAGGTCCATTCATACTGTCCCAAAGGGTACGAGCTCCTTTGNNGTGCTGCTGTGAACATAGGGGTGCATATATTCTTTCTGATTAGTGTTTCAGGATTCTTAGGATATATTCCTAGAAGTGAGATCACTGGGTCAAATGGTAGCTCCATTTTTAATTTTTTGAGGAACTTCCATACTGTTTTTTATTGTGGCTGCACCAGTCTGCATCCCCACCAGCAGTGTACCAGGTTCCCCTTTCTCCACACCCTCGCCAGCACGTGTCATTTGTTGACTTGTTGATGGAGCCATTCTGACAGGTGTGAAGTGATACCTCATTGTGGTTTTAATTTGCATCTCTCTGATGATTAGCAACCTTGAGCATTTTCTCATATGTCTCTTGGACATCTGTATGTCCTCTTTGGAGAAATGTCTATTCAAGTCCTTTGCCCATTTCTTAATTGGGTTGTTTGTCTTCCTCTTGCTGAGTAGTATGAATTCTTTGTACACTTTGGAAATTAGCCCCTTATCAGATACATCCTGGCAAATATGTTTTCCCAAACTGTGGTGTTCCTTTGTATTTTGAGGCTGTTTTCTTTTGCTGTGCAAAAGCTTTAGCTTGATGTAGTCCCATATGTTTATTTTTTCTTTTGTTTCTCTTGCCCTAGGAGATGTATCCATGAAAATTCTACTATGTGGGATGTTTATGACTTTACTGCCTATGTTTTCTTCCAGGGTTTTTATAGTTTTGTGACTTATATTTAAGTCTTTTATCCCTGACTGGGAATCAAACCTCAATCTCCTGGATCCTAGGTCAATGCTCAAGTGCTGAGCCATACCTACTGGGCTCTCTTGTTATTTATTTTGAGGCTGTTTCTTTGTCTCCCTATTTTGGCAGGCTCTTTGTGCTTGTTTCTGTTTATTGAGTAGATCTTCTAGGACTCCCAGCCCCGATGGGTTAGCTTCTGTAGTGGGTATCTTGTGGGACCTGGTGGTGTAGACTCCTTGATCTTCTGAGCTGGGTGCTCTAGGAAGGTCCCTTCTATGTGTTATGTGGGCTCTACTATTGTGATTGGTTCTTGATTACTGTTGTACCATTTTTGGGTGGTCTTGGCCCTCGCGCTGGCTGACTATAAGTCTCTACCCCTAGTACATCATGGCAACTATTATCCAGGTGCTGGGAAAACAAAATAAGTCCAAACCAACCAACCAGAAACCCTTCCCCACACACACTAAAAACTAATAAGAACAAAAAACACCACCACCACCAACAAAAAGAGAATAGGAAAGAGAGAAGAGAAGGAAAGAAGAATACTATCATGTGAGACCAACAGAATTAGAACAGAAAGAAGTGAAAGAGGAGAACGTGAAAGAAAAGAAGATGGAGAAAAGAAAAAATAAGAATTCATGAGAAGAAAAA